TGATGATTCCCGACTGCTTTTGGTTCAGGCCTGTGGCATTGGCAATGACAAGTCTATCGCCGAAGAGCTGGGTCATCAGCTTCACATGCGGCGTCTCACCACAGCCCTCGCACGCCCCCGAGAATTCAAGGTATGGCTTCTGAAACTGGGAGCCCTTGACCGTCGTCTTGTCAATTTCGTCGCCGCGGTCCGGCAGTGCCACGGCGAAGTTCCAGTTGGCCTCCTCTTCCTGAATGGCCTTCTCGGCCGGACCCAAGGTCAGTGCATCCGCGGGGCAAATGCGCACGCACAGCTCGCAGCCAGTGCAGTCCCAGGGGGACACCTGAATGCGGTACTGGTAGTTGTCCAAAACGCCTCCTCCGATAGCAGAACGGCTGCCTTCCTTGAACGATGCCGGCGCTTTCCCCAGCTCTTGAGAGGTCATCAGGAATGGTCTTACGGCTGCATGGGGGCAGATCAGACTGCACTTGTTGCACTGCGTGCACTTGTCCATGCCTACCTTAGGCACCTGGATTGCAATGCCACGCTTCTCGTACTGACTGGTACCACATGGCACGCGGCCACCAGGCACGAAGGCACTCACCGGCAGAGAGTTGCCATCCAGATTGTTGCAAGGTTTCTGCACTTGCGCGGCAAACTGCGAAGCATTCTGCACTTCGGGGAACATGCGGGGCCCCTTGGCATAAGCGACCGTGCTGGTCTTGGCGTCGGAAGCCTGTCAAGAAATTCACTGCTAGCCCATCCCTCATGCGCAATCGAGACTCCCCTGCAAAACCGGCATCATCTGCAATTCGATGCACGAGATGCACGAGCCTCCGTGTCGACTGCCAGGGATGCCCAAGCAGCTGGAACTTCGCATTCCACGATGCCCGCGATTGAAGCATCGACCCCGTCGATGTTCATCTTCACCACTTTGTCGCCCTGACAGGCTTGCATGCCGATCAGCCCGAGCCCCGCTGCACCCCCGTTCTCAAGACCACGCCTTCTTGCCATACATCTTCTTGATGCTCTTCTTCAGCATCTCCACGGCCTCTTCGTAGGGCATGACGGCACCTTCATGCAACTTTGCTGCACGATGCAGATCCACACCTATGTGGCCCATGTGGCATGCGTCTAAGGCGTGCGTCTAAGGCGGCCGCTCAGCTTGAAGAAGACGGTTTGCATGATCATGTTGATGCGCTTGCCCAGGCCGGCCTGTCTGCCACGCAGTACGAGATGCGACTGTGCAATTCAAAAACCACAATCTGCACTTGATCCTGGCTCATTACATGTCATGGTCAACTTTCATGCAACCGGAACCGAAGCCAACCACCTGCATCAAGTAATCCTGTGGCTTCTGTGATGTCTGCCTGCCTTCACTGCAATCTTGGTAGCATCGATGATGAACAGCTTGGCCTTCAAGCGCAGGGACGGTTTGGAATCAGTTGGCATTAGCATCGGCATGCCCGGGCCTTCTTCTCTGCCAGATCCCGCCGCATCTTGGCAGGCAGCTGCTGCTCCAACTCCTTCACGTCCCAGGAGCAGTTGATCACACAGACGGCGTTTTGCTTCAGGTAACGTGTCATGTCCTTAGAGGTAGAATCTGCCAACAGGAAGCACGAATTCTAATCTCCAGCTGAGAGCACTTGCGCAGACGAAACAATGCAGGCTGACAACAACTCCATGTCAGACAGGGAGCATAGTTGTGCACGTAGCTTGATTTGTGGATGGCCATGTAGTCGGCGGCACGGACGTTGTAAGGAGCATGAATTGGCTTGGGCCCGAACCTCAAGTGGCTGAT